TTTTCTCAGAGAGGTAAATCAGGAAGTACATGCCTGGCGTGGGAGAGCCAGCGAAGCGAGAACAAACGTTGGTGGGTGCAAAAAACGCCATCGGCGGGAATGGCGACAAGCGGTGGGATCAGAGAGAGGCTCACTCACTTCCCTGAAGAAACTAAGGTATAGCATTACTATTAAACTACTTGTGATCTATAGTTCCAACAGACAAACACACTAACTACAGCCTCTTACATACAACGCAATCTAGACACCATCAACAGTCAAAATAGACAAAATAGAGGTAATAAGATCCTCTCTTGTAGTCGTGCACCCGCAAAGTGGCCCATCCGTTACCACAATTGCAGATCGAATTGGAACTTAGAGATGTCGAAGAGAAGGATGAACCGAAGTACCGTAAATGATCTAATTGACGCCCACTTTCAGATAAACTCCTCTTGTCTAATAAACACCCCTCCGACGCTTTTTAAGTTTGTATCAGACGCTCCGCTCTGATACACCGCGCTCCATGTGCAATAGACGCCCAGCATGACAATTGCTCTATTTATAAACAATGGTGATATTTTTGTGGAGTTTGTTAGCGATGAGAATAAACAACGCCTCTCTTTTTTAAAAGCCTTCTAACTATTTAACGCCCTCGCTTAGGCTCGTGAAATTTAATACTAGACGCCTGGCGAGCGTCTATCAGACCATTTACAGTAATGGAGGAAAACCTTCCACGGCCCAGTTGCTCGAAGCATGGTTAGCGTTAACCAGCGTTTAATAACTTGACAACGTATTGGTTTTGATACTGCTTAACCAATGGTTAAAGCTAACCATGCTTTGAGCAACTCAGCCCAGAGCAAGAGAGAGGAATAAAAGGCAACCTTAGGCTCAATTTCCGCCGCTATCTCAAGTTTGCTATTTTTGCCTTCCCAAATAAAGGCTGGTAACCTCTTCGACCCAGGGATTCGAACCCAGGCCATTTCGGTAGAGGCCAGGACCAGGTTGTTCAAAGCTGGGTTAAGATAACCCAGGGCATAGTTCAGTATTAAAATGGAATGCTTATGAAACCCGTTAGACTCTTCTGATATATTTTTTTGTTAGCTTTTTTGGACCTGACCGTGTACTACGTTCAATAGCATTCCTATCATTTTGAACTTAATGACCAATACAAACATCGCGTTAAATTTATTCAGTCACAATTTGTGAACAAAACACAAAGGATTGCGCACGGTCAGGGAGCTTCCAACATAACCTACAGCACCGTTGTTTTCAACTTTGATGTTTGCCGGCTTTCCTAACCAGTCTCCTCCACTAACTATGCCCACGGTTAGTGCGAAATTGAGTTGAGATACATGAAAGATTAATAAGCAAATTCAGTTAAATTCGTCTTGTCCACAATTTGATGATTGGACGCTCTAATTAGAATAGCGAAAATTATCGGAGCAAGTGCTTTTGAACAAAATAAAAAAACCGGATTAAAATTTAACCCCGCCTTAGCTCTAAACGGCCCTTGAACAAGAGGTTCCGGTACTCTCAGCCCTTCGCCGTCATTTTCCGGCCCCTTAAAACGACTTCTGCAGAATTAACGATGACTTACCGAATCCACCCTGTTTTCAACTTGTGACAATACCATATACTCAAACGGTATGGCGGCTACAAAGTCAACTACAAACCAAGATTTCAAATAATGCAGTGCAATTTGTCTTGGTGCGCTTACTACTTCGTCGGTTGAAGGATTAATAAAGGTTGTTCTGAAGTTAATCAAAATGTCAACTATAAACATAACGTCCACCAGAAGGTTAAAGACTAGCAGAGGAGTAGCTTTATCGAAGTTTGACCATTTGCTTCCTTGTAATGGTATTAAGAATGCCACGGAATAGGGAATTTCTATCGCGGTGAATATAACGAGCGCCAGAATAAGCCAGTCCCACACTGCTTTGAAGAGGGAATCATGTCGGATTGTGCACGGATGAAGATGCGTTTCTGGTCGAGGATTTGAGCTGGAACTGAGGGACATGACCTGAAAATAAACAAAATACGAGTTGATATTTTAAGCATATTTTGAGCATTTGGGGTAGGGAAGTGTTACCATCGCAAACAGAAAAGATCAACCACTCCAGGGAAAGACTAGTGTTGTGTCCATTAGGGCCCACTATATAAAGACTTCTGTACACAGACATGACTTTTCACTCCATGGACACTCTAGACATTGGTGTCATCATAAACCTCTCTCGCTATCCGGCTTATCAGAAGTTCGAAAGGGTAGAAGAACATTCCCTTGCGTATGCCCAGTTCTCCACTTTTTTTTTCTACTCCTCGCTCAATTTCGTACATAAACAAGATGGAACGCTTCATGCACTCAAACTATTCAAGCTTCATCTAAATTCGGAGGTTAAAATCTGTAATATTAGCAAAGAATATTATCACAATTGAAGACGCAACTTATGTAGATGCGGAACGAAAGCCTGAAAAAATTCAGGCATGACGGGACTCGAACCCTGACCCGCTCTGTGATATCGATACAGCGCGCCTAACAATTTGAGCTAGAATGTCAACTAGGAGCAGAGCAGTGCGTTAAATTGGTTCTTAATATGTTCGGGTAAGATAAAGATGAAATGATGCACATATGAATTTCCTGTAATAGAACCACGAAATGAAGAAATATGGAAAGTTCCTATGCAGTCGGCGCGCAAAGAAAGCGGAAAAATTTTAGAGTCATAAGATGAGTGTGTACTCCCAAAGTCGGTGCTTGTCGAGTACAATCCTCAGCGACTCTCATTACTTGGTGTAATTTACAAGGATACAAGGACAGAATACCAGACCTAAAAGTCCAGGTAAATCACTTAACATGGTGCGCGATATAAAACGAACTCGACGAGAAGTGAAGGAAGTAACATGAAGAGATTTATTGAACCACAGATCAATGTTCCTAGCACAGAGGTAACAACTTGATGCAGAAGAATCGACGGGGTCGATTGACAAGACAATAGGTCCCTAAGTTGTGAAATCGGTACAAAGTTGTACAAAGTCGGTACAAATTTGGTTTGCACACGCACCAATGTTATCTTGACTCAAAACGCTAAGCTGAGCTTGACAGAGGATGAGAACGAGTGTAGATAGAAATATAGCCCCAATGGCTGACAGAAGTTAACACTATCAAGTTTACACTAGAACTGAAATAACTAAGATGAAAACGCTAAATTTGTAATTATCAAAACGTGCTTGGAAACGATTTAGAAATTATTACGTATTTCCCAAGCGGACATAACAGAAAAGGGCTGGGAAAGTAGCGTGGGCTTATCAATAAAAATCATCACTTATGTAGACGATAAATCGATTTATAATAACAACCGTTAGCACGTTCGTGCAATCACAGGGGATTAACGAAAAGAAGTCACGTTTCAAAACCAACACTTGGTACTTGGTACAAATGCCATTTTTCAAACTGATGATTGAAAATACGGCAGTAAAATATCCTTGAAAGCTGCCCACCTACACCTCCCCTAACTCAACGTTAGCACTGATATCTCACTTAAGACAAAATATTTGGATCAGAAAATACAGTACACTGAAGATTGTGTTGGATTACGCATTCCCTTTAAATGATCACGGGGAACTCAAAATGAATTTCGCTATTTTAAACTGAAAGCACTATAATCTAACGGAAAATGCAAAAAGTGTTTTTCAGGATCAGAATTTTAACCTACAGCAGTCAAATTAGCTTTTTTCCTGACGTAACTGTGATACTGAAAAGCCCCTTACAAGTTAGAACTTTTCGTTCACAATAGAAAAGCAGAAAAAAGAAGGAAAATATAAAAATACATCGAGCATATCAGCCACTTATTGACCTATATTCTGAGGATCGGAACTCCTCATGTTCGATCAAATGCTTCTTTGATCCCGAAAAGTGTCTCTTGATTTTACATCAGGCGAGAGAAAACTGGCTTTTTTCTCCGAATGCTTGTCCTTATAAAATCACGTAGACTTTCACGTTCAGTCGGAGTCTAAAGACCGTCGGCGAAAAAGTCTTATATTTCGATTGAGTTTTTTCTTTTTTTAAAAAAAGGAGGGAGTTTTGCCCTCGAATGTTTGCCAGTCTTTCTTTTTTCCTTTTATCTCTTAATTCTTTTATGAATATATTAAAATCAGGGTTGCCACTCATCAGAAACTAAAAAATTCCGTGACTTTTAACCGATTGGAGTCTAAAGAATTTTCACCGACCTGACTTTAGTTGATTAATACGAACAAACAATCCATATTTACATTTGCTTGGGCTTTTTTAACTTGTGGATTACGCGTAACGTAAGGAACAAGTTATTGTGGGCACTGCGATATGCAAATGTTCACTCAGATGTAGACCCCTTCCATTCGTAAATCAGTCGGTTCCGCACGAAAGCGCCCGATCTCAAAACGACAACTGTCCTAGATCCATCCCGTTCCGCGATGTGCTGATTTTGTACATTTCACAGGAGTCACAGGACCACGGTCTTCATGTGGAGTTTGAATGTTTCAAATTAGCACTATGGCCAACTTTGACACAGAAGTTTATGAACTTTTGAGGCTTTTTGACTCGTCCAAGCAAAAAACATGACGAAAAGATCAGCCATTGCTCTTCGACTCCCAAGCTGGTCCAAGCTGACGATTCTGACGTGAGTCTCACGATTTTTTAACGTCAAGACTCCCAATCTCATGGTTTTGTAGTGAAACATCATTCTGAAATGGAATGTTTCTTCGTTCAATAAAAACGGAAATCTTTACTGCTGCTAAATCGTAATTGATTCTCCTCATGTAAACGCCGAGAATCGCAAGCTGCTACGAAATGAGTTAAAGTACGGCTTTAACTGTCAAAACCATGCTTGTTTTCCTCGAATATATCCTCAAGGCTTCATAAATAAAGTACTACAGGCTTCAAACAGCGTCAACCGGCAGAATTTCATGTGCAAAAGTGGTGTGGATGATTAATTTAACGCGAGTCTTCAATGTTAGTTGTCCTGGCGCAATAGATAATGGCCGTTGACCTTCCACTTCGGAGGTCCGGGTTTCGTCTCTCGCCATTGGAATTTTTTTTTTTCAGTTTGTTTTTGGTCCTTTTCGTTTTTTTTTTCTTTTCGAAAACCATATTTTCATTTCTTGACAGACTCAAAATATATCGGTGGACTAATTGCAGGTTCATTATATCAGCTTTCATTTTTAAAATACAGTAATTTATAATCCACAAGTTAGCCTTAGGCACCCTTTGATTATTCTTGTCTTCATTTTCAAACTCTTTACGCTTTTCACGGGATTTTGAGTGCAAGGAATATAGAATTCCCTGACTTTTCAATGACTTTAACAATATGAAAGATTTTTCCTATAAATTTTAACAAAATTCCCTGACTTTTCCCTGACCTTGAAAAGTATTTGTTTTTCCCTGAGTGACGGGGACAACTCTGAATTATACACTTAAAAATGGAGTCTTATCTTCTTCTACAAAGTTAATAATATAATCTATATATCAGCTCGTAAATTTAACAATTTTAAGCTGCTTCGCTCGTAAGAGCCTCACACGAAATCATTAAGATACCTAAAACACAATTGGCGATCTTGATTACGGACCTTGAAACAATAGCTATGAAGAAAGTAGCTCGTTTTCTTTGTGTTCTCAAAATTTAATATCAATTTGTTTTGACCTAAAATTTGCCTCAATTGCGCGTCGGCTCCGGTGTTTGCAGATCAAATGTGTCTTGTGCTTTTGACTTCCTGAGTTCGAACATTTAAAGGCAATTATGATCGCTTCTGTTTTATTTTTTCCTTCTTCCTTTTTTTGCGTTTTGGGAGCTTTTTGAATGACAATAGTTGTGTCTGAAAGCTTAGCGATATCTCTGTTTATCTGATGCGATAGTATGTTTAAATTGTAAGCTGAGCTTTGAAAGGAAATCCCTCGTTCAAGACCATGGACAAGATATTTAGCGGGCCTGAAAAAATACGTGATTGTACTGACCGGTTTTTCTAAAGGCATCGATTGACCTTATTGCAAATATTCGAGAAAGAAATATTTTATCACTGTATATCTTTGTATGTTGATTTTCAGTTTGTATACGAATCTTGAATTGTTTTAAAAAATGCAAATCATTGTTCTTGTATATTGACAGCCTGATCTAGATGCTTCGAGCACCTGTTTTCGGTCGGTCAAGGAGAAAATGGCGTTTAGTTTATGGCTAAAAATGCTAATAAAAAAGATAATAATCTAGGGCGGTTTATGATATCAGTCTTGGCTGGTTCACGGCTGCTAAAAATGAACTGGGATTAAAAGAAGCAATATAACAGTGAATTATATGTAATGGAGGACGGATATATAAAAGCTAGCCAAACAGACCATTAGATTGGTTTGGGTTTTATATAGCTAAATTGCCTAACAAACCGTGTACTGACGACGAACCGAGATAAAGAAAATAATATTGCTTGAGATTAAATTCAGGATTGAAGGCTACTATACTAGAATGTTACAGACTTGGAGATTATAGAAAACAATATGGCAGATAAAATCGATGTGAAAATACAGTATGTCATTTTTGCAGTCGGCTCAACAAAAGGTCAAAATCATATGATCGAGAAGAAGAATGACTAATGATAGTCGAACTTAATTCAGTAGTTGAATGTTTACTTTGAAGTACGAAGCACCTCCGACAATCTTTCACACTGAGCACATAAAAAACTGTCTTCTAACACTGGGAAGTGGAAACTTATTTCTTGCAATGAAAGACAAGATAATTCGTATTTGAGACCTTCAGTTATAAAGACGATTTTGAAGTGAAAACAACACGCCCCAGCAAGTTTATTAAGGCGATGCCTCAGTAAAATATTCATAGCTTGCTTTTAAAGTCAAAATATGTAATGAGCAAACCCGCACTGCTTATACATGTATATTATTGTTGTCCTCTCTAAAAATAAAAGTGCATCGATTATTGAGTTTGTCGCTGCCAAAGGGGCTTGTTTAGAGAATCCAGATAAATTATTTTAGCTCTTTAAGCAAGGTTTATTAGTTTATAAGTAAAAATAACTACCCCTTTTCTGAAAGTATTTCCTTGACCGTCAAAAGGACTCGCTGTGTGGTTTCCGAGGAATGCAACGAGATCTTGAAAATTCCATTAAGGCAAACAGTTCGGTTAAAAAATAATGAAATGTCAAGACTGGCATAAAGCTGAGTGCTGTGATGTGCTTTTTTCTAATCTCGCTCCTGACCGCAACGATTTACAACCAGCTGAGGCAGAAAAGACGGCGTTTAGGACTGCTTTCTAAAATTACTACTCGTAGGTCTTTATTCTTTGAAAATAAAATTTAAAAATTTATTTTTCATAAAGCATTTATTCGTGAAGCTAAAACTGGATACGACAACCGTAAGCCGTGTCGCACGTTATGATTATATATTGCTTCGACTCGTAAAATTTTTGTGTTGAATAATTAACTTACCAGGCCTTTAATTCCCAACTGTGGCGCGAATGAGGCATTGCGGGAGCTTAAAAGGCGACGAGACAAAGACATATTGGGCTTCTCGGCTAGAATTTAGGCTCTGATTTTCATCCGCGAATCGCTCGCAGTCTTCGAAACCTTTGGTGCTTTTCAGGGATGTTACACGACCTCTGAACAGGATATCCGCTGGACGCCACAGTCTGTGACGTCATAATACATTATCTTCGCGCGCTTCCTTCAAGTGCAGTGGGAATAATTTATAAATTTCTTTTTTTCCTCCGACGGACGAAAACATTCCTTTAAACGAGAAACGGACAACAATCCTTGTTCCCCGAAGTGACAGTGCCATAATTGTCTAGACCGCGGTTTTTCCACTTGTCAAGGCGGGATACGTAACGAAAAGAACTATTTTGAATGTTTTGAGATTCGTTTAGCATTGAAGAACAGTTTTTGCTACGAAATTTCAAACAATTTTCTTAACGTGTTTTAAACGATGACCGACCCATTCCATATATAGTCCTTTAAACACCGTCTGAAATGAATATAACTGTAAATAAAGTAAAACGCCAGGTGGAAATCAACTTCGCCCAAAATGAAGGGAAAAATTATTAATGAAAGCCGATTGTTAATGAAATTTATACTTCAAGACGGACTCAACCCTACAAAATGTGATTTTAAATCAAGTTTATAGGGTAGCCTTAATTAAAAGGAAGTCTTAAGAGATGATCGGGAAAACACCTGTGATAGATAGAAATATGTAAGCTTACATGATAACCATTAATGAATAAAAATAGACAAGTTAACAATATCAACAAGACGCAATTTTTCTATGCAACCATACCTTTCTAATTCGAGAATTAGACGGGCAAACGCTGAAAAGTACTTTACAAAACAGGGAAAAACGATTTACTAACTTTGATTGTCCGGCAAGCTTGTGTTATAATTGGCTATTACTTAAAACGTCCCATTTCAACCATTTCCTTAGACTCCAGAAGACTCAAGAATGAACTTCGTCACAGTCGCGAACTCCTCGGCGATCTTTATGTCCAGCGCACGAGATTGCGACGCAAGATCCTTGTATTTACCAGACTATCAAATGATCGCAACCAAGCGGGTAAAAGTCAGAAAGAATCACCTTTGGAAGACCAGCGAAGACTCATAAATCTTACTCATTTCGACTACCGACTGCTATGGCTTATCTATAGAAGGATCATTCATGTGGAGTTGCCCCGCTGACCAAAACGCCAGAAGACACTGGATAAGAGATTAGGTGGCAGATTCTTGGGCTATTTTAGCTATTACAGATCAGGCTTTAAGACCCCAATCCAAAAGGACCAAGCAAGGATTGAATTAGCTATTCTGAGTGAGTCGTGTTGCAAAGAACCGTTGTAAGACATATAAATGTACAAAACAATTAGCTCGTCCCCGATGTAAGGAATCCAAGACAGTCTTGAATTATGGATTGCACGCCGTGGATTCCGGATTCCACGCACTGGATTCCAGTTTTTGTCAGTGGAACTTGGATTCCGGATTCTAATGGTTCGTGGGATTCCGGATTCCTTGAGCTTTATTCTGGTTTCCACGGGCAACTTTTCTTGGATTCCAGAATCGGGATGCGCCGATTAGGTCAATTAGCACTGAGTGGGCGTCACTGCATGCATGGACACACATTCACAGCACCTTTCACATGCGCAAAGTCTACTTTAGAAGCTACAAAGTAAAATTTGTTAGCGAGGTAATACGTAAAATCACTTCGCTGATCTTCGTCACAGTCTATGGTTAATGCATTAACATGTCCTACCGTTATTTTATCAGTTTAGTTTACTTAATTGTATTTCACTTATAATAATGCACTTCTTTCGAAGTTTATTGCTACCATTTACTCCACTTACAAACTGATTTAGCTTGGGATATTCGCCTTTAACTGATTCTTAGCCTTTGAAATAATAAAGAAGGAAAGTATGAAATCTTATAGTTAAAACCACGCGCTAGACTGAATAGAGTTCCAGAGGTTGTAAAACGAAAGAAATTATACTATAACACGGCTGGAGCTGCGCACTACTATCCTATATATAGGAAGCAAATCCTGTTTCGTGTTTTCTTAGTTTACAGTCAAGCCTCTTTTAAACGGACATGCATTACGCGATCACCCTTTAGCTTTAGCTAGTAAGGGGGCCCTTTCTTATACGTAAAGTCTCGAAAGTCATAGCCTGCGAACGGCAGACTTTTCCCCTCGCTCATCGCCACTGAGGGACGTTTCGGGAGGAGGAACGCCTGCGACTCAGCGACAGAAATTCCATACTGATGACGCAAAATCTGTTCGGAATCCGGTCAGAAGCGCTAATTGGTCGACGGAGTAGTCTCATTGTTCTAGCTATTGTTTATGAATGACAGACAAAAGACAAAAGGCGGCAAAGGTCAAATGTAAACACGATGAATCTCTAACAGTCAATATTTGTGGAATATAGTCTTCTCTAGAAGAAGCATTTGAGTTTTGCTGGAGCTCATTCGTCGATGAACACAACACTTTTCCAAAATCGACCAGGAGAAACGTAAAATTGAACAAATTTGCATTTGGAATCCCATGACTATCAGATTTGTTATGTAAGCATTAATTTACGTCATCAGTATGGAATTTCTGTCGCTGAGTCGCAGACGTTCTTCCTCGCGTAACGTCCCTTGCGGCGATGAGCGAGGAGACACGTCTGCCGTTCGCATGCTACGAAAGTCATTTCTCATAATTACTGACTGACCTGTATTAATTGTTAGTCACCTCTATGAGGCGGTTGCGCTCACCTTTCATGTGGTAACGAGTTTTTAGTTATTGTCATTTGTCTGAACTTAATGCCTTTTTCTTATTTTTTAGACTCGACTTCATATAAATTTTAATCTGATTTGTACGTGATATTTTGCATAAATACCACTCGTGATATTTCAAAATTGTCTCAAATTTCACTCGCCTGACGGCTCGTGAAATTACGTATAACAATTTTGAAATATCACTTGTAGTATTTATGCCAAATATCACTACAAATCATGCTATTACCTATACTAATTTACTTTATCTAGTGATCTGTAGAATTTCTTTTTAGATTCAAATATTTTTTAATTGTAACTGAATGTAAAGCGCTTTTGAATATTGTTTATAGTATTAGCGGTAAACAAATTCATGAACATTATTATCAAAATTATAAATATTAGGATTTTATAGTTAGCTTTGTTATTAATAACAGAATTATTTTTATTATTGAAAATTATTATTATTATTATTATTATTATTATTATTATTATTATTATTATTATTATTATTATTATTATTATGTGCATGTCTCACTCCAAGGTACTCCATGGTATTGCCAGTTTTTCTTTTTTTTTGCAGGGGAGTTACTGGGAGGAAGCTATTTATAGAAAAACCTATCTATTACTATGGATTTAAGGCGTACCTCGCCTAATGGAAACCATAACCCATAAATTACCAACATAAATGAATGCAGCAATTAAGGGATATTATCAATCGAGACCAACACAAATTCAAAAGGCAGCAGAAACTTTCAATTCCTATATTCAAGATCAGGTTATTGTTTCAATTTCTTTCAAGTAGTTTGGGGAAAGTTTGTCACTTTTCAGAAATATATTGAGCTATTAGCAAGGTGGCGACAGCGATTAGCATTTTAAGGACTGAAATGATACGTTGTTATCCCAGCAATTGACGCATTCAGACTTTCCAGCGATACGAGGATAAAGGGCCTTGCTAGAGTTCTTTTACTGAACTCGAAACGTGGGTGCTTTTCCCAGCATGATATTATATGATTTGCATTTTAAAATAGAAGTTCTGAAGACTTATTTCCACGATAAGCATATTTAAATATTGGCTTTAAGTAATTATTGAGGACTCTCATGAAATGAAGCAAACATTACAAGAAATGTTACCTCGAAAATTCAGTGTTAAAATACAAGATGGTACAACAGTAAAATGAGAAATAGGATTTATACTTAAGCGAGCAGATTTCTTAATTTTTAAAACCAATCATAGTTACTAAAATTAGCTAAGCAATCGGCAAAACTTCTGACTGGTCTCGAACTAAGCTCCGAATCTTGAAAAGTCCGCAGGATTATCATCAAAACGCGGCTTAAGAATACAATAGAAGATGATTAAATATCAAACAAAAGTTCAGGCTCCTTTTTGGAAAAAGTCACCTTGGAAATAAAGCTAAGGTTTTCGTGCGATGGTGAAACAATAGTTACAACATATGCTAACCTCAGTCTTCACTAACTTCCAGCGTGCCATAGCCGATCACGCTCTTCTTTCGCCGGGAATCTCGCAAGTGATCGAGATAGACCTCCTTTTCTTATGAACAGCGAGTTTATAGAAATAGCCGAATATTTCAGAAAAATGAGGCGGCTTGCATTTCCAGTTGCAACGATCAAAATTCGCTGTTACACGAACGACAATTGGCATATGTTGTTTTTGCTGAAACAACTGAGAGCCAACAGAGAGCCAATGGGAGCCCTTACGGCCCATGGCAGATGTTGCGATTAATTAAGGCAAATAAAGTTGAATATGGCGAACTAAAACTTCCATTTGAAATATGATAAACAAATGTTTTTATTCTCCCAGGCATTTTTCTTCTATTTTCGAGGTCACCTAGCTCACTTGATGGCTTATTTTGCACCTAAACTTCAGTTTATGCAGAAAAAGGGATATTTTTGTTTTCTATGTTGAAACAAATCAGGAGCAGAAAATAGTTAAATATCTCAAACAATGCGATAACATTGTATCACTTGCGACAACTGGCAACCAACGGTTAAAAGGAAGTTATTTCACTTTGAGCGTGTTTTTGCCGCTTCGTCAAGGTTTTTTTATGTCAAAAGATGAACAGAAGTAATAAACTTAATGAGCCGGGCTAAACGAAATTGAACACCATGCAAATGAATTTAACAACCATGAAAAGCGCGAATTATAAAAAAAGGAGACAAAATGAATGACAAGAAAACACAGGGGAATTAAACTTTCGTGAATATCTTTGCCTCAAGCAATGAACAAGACCGGCTTAATTAACCATCTACGACAG